TTTATAATTTCTTTCAATATATTTTATATATTTTTTATAAGTATTTTATTCATTTTATTATTTTATCAAATTTAATAATTTATTATATTTATTTTATATTTTATATAATTTTTTTTTTTATTTTTCTATTTTCAATCATTTTACTTTATTCTTTACTTGTTTTTATTATTTTTTAATGATTTTCAATGTATATACTATATTTTTACATATTTTTATAACCAGTTTTTTTTATCTTTAATATTTTATAATTTTATTATAATTTACATCTACTTATACTTAATTTTATATTATTCAATAAATAATTTTAATTTTTATTTTAATTTAGATATTAAAATTGCATTAAATGTATAATAAATACATATTATTTTTTTCATAATTTTGTAAACTTTATACAAAAAGTTTTGTTTTTAGAAATTTTTATTCTTTTTGTTTTTGTTTTATTCTGAAATTATATTTAAATATATTTTCGTATATATAATAATATCTCATAATCATAATTTTTTATTATTTCATATTTAATTGATAATTTTAAAGGATTTTAATTATTATTATTTTATTTAATATATTTTTCCCTTATTGCTTATATTTTTTTGAGTTGTTTTTGAAATTAATAAATAATATTCTTATATTTGTTAAATATATAATTTATTAAATTTACTTAATTCTTAATGTTTTCTGATACTGAAGCTTTTTTATCTGCAAATAGGAATAAATCTATTTAACAATTATTCATTTATTATAAAACTTTTTCTAAAAAATATTAATAATATAAAAATAATATTTTAAATTTTTGATTCTTATGCATGATACATTTATAATTAAATAAATTTATTTTATAAAACCATATAATCTTTCAATTATTTCTTTTGAAAAACCTCTTCTTTATAGTTGTATATATTTGAATAAATTATTGCAGTTTTTACTATCAAAGGCTTTTTATTATTCTAAAAAATATTTCCTTTTAATCTTAATATATAAAATTATTTCTTGCTTAATAAAACTCTTATTAATAATTTCTAACTTTATTTATATTTTAATTTTTATTGATTATATTTAATGATTCTGTTTTTATTAATTTCATAATTTAAAATATTATTGTAATAGTTTTATAAGATTCAAAATTATAATAAAATTTTTTTTTTAATATATATTTATATAGTTTCCCAAATTTTTTTTTATGGATTTTCCATATATTTTGTATCAAATAAATGGCAAATTAATTTTTTATATAATTCTCTGTTTGAATTTTTTTGCTATTAAATTTTATGATTAAATTTAATCAAATAATTATTCTTTTTATAAATTGAGATTAAATATTAATAGTCAGTTAAGTTACTAATTATTTTGCTCTATAAATATAATTTAGAATGATATTTTTCTATAATTTATTAAGTTTTAATTTAATAATTTATATAAGTTATTAATTATCAAGTAATTAAATTTTTCTTTTTAATATTAAGTCAATATTAAGTCAGCTTTTTAATAAATTTATAATAGAATTTTTATATTAAATTTTCTATTCAATTTATTTTTTATTATATTTTATTGAAAAACTTCATTTTAACTCAATTCTCATATTCTTATTTATATATTATTTATTTACTCTAATAAATAGTAAATAAAAAAAAATTATTTTCATAAATAATATAATTATAAATTTTTAAAAATATATAAATAATTATTTATTATTTAAATTATATATAACAAAAATGTTAATTATTTCATATTCCAGTTATTTATTATATTAAATATTTTTATATTTTTATTTATTTATTATATAATGTTTTTTATAATATTTCTTTTTTATATTTTAATTGTTATCTTTAGTATAATTATTGGATGATTTTATTTTTTAATAGTTTTTATTATATGTCTTGTATTTCATAGAAATTTTTATTTAAAATGTTTAAATTTTTACTTATTTTATTTAATTGATTTTTTTTTAATATTCTCATAAAAAAATTATCGAAAAGTTTTTTTTTTAAATATTTATTAAAAAACATACTTTTATTTATTAAAAAAAATAAAATATAAAATATTTATAAACATAAATTGTAATTTAACTTTATAAATTTTTATTTTAAAAATAATATATATAAATAACTTAAAAACATTAAAAATTATTTTTATTTATTATATTAAATATATTATATTTTTAGATATATTTTAAATATTCTGACTAAAAATTGTACAAATTAAATTTAATTATTTAATATAAGCAAAATCAATAAATTTATTTTATATTATTATTTTAAATAAATATTTTATATATGTATTTTTAAATTTACATATAAATATTAAATGGAAATCCAAAAAATATATAATGTATATATAAAAAATAAGAAAATATAAATTCTGGTAAATTATGAAAACTTGATTATTTATTAAAAAATTTAGTATATATTTTTTTTTAAATTTTAAGAAAAGAAAAAATTAAAAAATTGAGCAAATAATTAATTTATTAAGCAAATCAAATTATGAATGCATGTTATATTTTGATTATTAAAGAAATAAAAATATATATATTCATGATCAACTTCACATCTTAAAAATATTTAAGTCAAGAATACTAACTAAAACTAACCGATAATTTAATAAAACTCATATCCTATATGCATATAATATTTAAGACATAAATTAAATTAAATAAAATAAGTAAATCTCAATAAAATACTAATTCATTTTATTAATTTATATATCTTCGAAATTTGATTAATATAAAAATTAATTTACATATGTTAATAAATTTAGCAAAAAATATAAACAAAAAACGCATAAAAACCTAAATTAATTAATAGAATCTATATTAAAAATAAAAAAATATAATTTTAAATAATAGCATAATTATATTATTATTTATTATTTCACAAGAAAAAAAATTATAATTTTTATTTATCAACTAAGAAAATAATTAAAATAAAAAAATGAAAACAAAATTTATTTGTATTTTAGTAATATTATTTATATCTACTCTAAATCAATAATTAAATGATTCTGATATTAAAAATATAGAACCTGTATAGATATAATTAGATGATGTTATTTTAACTGGATGGCCAAATTAACCTTTAGAAGTTACATTTAATCCTGAAATATATGATATATATTCTATTAAATTAATATAGAAATTATAAAATGTAAATATTAATAAAAATTTAAATAAAAAAATAATTGAATTAAATTAGGGTTAATAGAAAGAAGAATAAGAATTAGATAATGAAGCAATTTTTCAAAGTAGAGATTTAAAAGACTTGGGTGGATGTCGTACATTTTAAACGAAAGCTGCTGTAGAGCCGGTATTCAAGACAACTACAAATTTCTAAGGAAATAATATGTATGAAAGATTTGAAGAAGTTATAACATTTGATACCTATAAGAAAATGTATATAGTTTCTAATAGTTTCTAAGTTTATTCTGTAAAATAAATATAAATAATTAAATAAAAATTAAAAAAGATATAAAATATTATACAAAATTAAAAATATATATAAATAAAATTTTCTTATGATTATTATATACAAATATATTTTATATTAATTAAAAAAAAATTATTATTTTATTTTTAATATATATATATATATTTTTATTTATTCAGTATTTTTTAAAAACTCAATAAATATAAAATTAAGGCCAATATCTATTTTTACTTTTTTTTATTGATTGAGTTTTTTAAAAAATACAGTAAAATAAAATAAGCAATATCAAAAATTTATATTTAATTTTTAAATTTAATAATAGTTATATTATTCTGAATCAACTTAATTTGAAATAGATAATGCAAGCATAAACTATGATCCCGATAGTTCCTTTTAATAGGTTTTGAATATTCCTAAAGAATTAACATCACCAGATACAAAAATTATAGCTAAAATGTCAGCTATATAGCATGATAAATACGGATATATTTTCTGTAAATTTGGGGCTGTAAGATTTTCCGCATCTAGTATCAATTATTTATCAAGAAATGATTTTATACTTTAAGAAAGCTTTATAAAACGAACTGAAATTTTTTCAGTTTATAAAGATCATAATAATTACATTTATGCAGCTACATCTGAAGGAATTGATATTTATACTTTAGATGAAAAATTTACTTTGAAATTTTTAAAATCATTAACTACAGTGCAATTAAGATAATATCATTAAGTCCAAAAAATGGACATTAGAAAAATATAAATAGTCAAATAAGGTGATAATGAATTAATTTTACTTTTGGAAAATTAATTTGGTATACATGTTTTATAAAATATTAATAATAATGCTCCTTGGGCATATAAATATTTCATCTTTTTAAGAAGAATATAAAATTTCGATGCTACGGGATTTACATTGGCAGCTGTTTTAAGTACTAAAAATTACTAATTTGGTGTAGAGATATTTTTTGATTAATAAAATTACTATTAAAATCAGTAAATATATTATTTTTAACATAAAAAATTATATTATTTTTTTAAAAAAGTATTGAAGATGATGAGCTAGAAGTAAGTAGTATTAAACTTGATCCTAATAGCAGGGTTGGAATTTGGATGAGTGAAGATATTGGGAAAGTATTTTCACATTCTATTCTAAGCAAACACCTTTAATAAAATAGAAATGATTATGAAAACTATTTCAAAATGGAAGGTGACACTTAAATCAAATTCCTTTAATATGGAAAAAATACTTATATTTTTGCTCTTGGAAGAAAATATTTTGAACTATTTACATTAGTTAAAGCCCCATCTAAAGTTATTTGCTCTTCTTCCAATAGCCTTGAAAATCTATAGTATTAAATAATATTCCATTCTACAGAATGTAATGGAAAAGAAGAATAAACTAATTCGGACTTAACTGGAATTTAAAAAATGTTTTAAATGTGTGAAGTGACTATGAATTTAAATTATAAAACAAAAAAAGCATACCTTGATTCGAGTAATGTTGGACTTATATTAGGAATCGTACTTCCTTTGCTTTTTATTATTTTATGTATTATAGGATATTTCGGATGGAGATATCATAAAGAAAAAATTGAGGTTATCTAACTTGAAAGTGATAAAAAGAAATATTATGAAACATTAAGTTTAGCAGATTAAGAAAAATAATGAAATAAAAGATAAAATTATTAACATAAATTTATAATATTTTTTTACATATTCGATTAATCAAATTTAATTTTTAATAATTTTATATTAAATTTAATTTTTAATAATTTTATATATTATAGTTTTTGATTAATATAACTTTTTTATAATTTGATAATATCAATAATAAGTATAATCAAAAGCAATTTACTAGCATCTGTTTAAAATTCTTTCATTTAAATTCTATTATTTTACATGCATGTTTAACTCATATATATTTGGTATTATAAATTAATTCGTTTTCAGATCATTTATATGCTATCTTTGGATTTAATTACGACTTTTAAGCGTATTGTACTATACTTTAAAGTTATTATTATCTATTTATGCATCTTGTAGCAATTACGATTGTTCTTGATTATTTTTTTATAATTTTATTTGAAGTTCTTTTAAAACATTCTTTAATTAATTATTATCATTTAATGCTTTCTAAATCTATTCTTTTTTTTATATTTTTTCTGTATAAAGAATTTCATTTTCAACTTTTATATTATCGAAATTCATAATAACAATTAAAAAAAAAAAATTGATAAATATAAAATTAATTTTAATTTTTCTTTAACTTTTTAATTAAATAGTTTTTATACTTACTACCTTTATAAAATGAAATAAATTATTTAAATTAATAAAAATATTAATAATTATTAATATTGCTATTCATCTGTAAAACCTGTTCCAATATATGAAGGCATTAGTAAATTCAACAGTATAAATGAAAAATTAAGAGTTAATGAAAACTATGAAAAACATAAATGGTAAAGTAAGTTTAATTACTATAAAATAAATACCGATGAGTTAAAGTGCATTTTTTTGTAAGATAATCAAGATTATTAAGTCTCTATAGAATTAATAAATCAATTTAATAAAGATTTGTAATAAAAAAATAATAATATCTAACACCTTAAAAATGCTCCTTGGAAATTTCAATTCTTCAAGCAATTATACTTTTAATTAAAAGAAGTTGCTTAAACATAAGATAGAATAGTTCAAAGTGTGTTTGCAAAACAGGTAAATCTATGGGCTTTTGAATAATTAGAAAGACTAGAAGCATAAAATAAATCTTTGAAACCTTTCGAAGATGATAATTCATTTATTTATCAATTTTAAGAAATTAAAAAATCAAAAAAAGAAGATTTAAATTAATTATATTCTCCCAAAAATAACAATTATAATAACACAACACTAAATGAAAACGATGAAACATCAAACTAAACTTAAGATACTTCTAAAATTATTTGTTATCCACATTTATATATGGCTGAGTAACTTAAGGATTATCAAAGTAAAGCACGTACTAAATATCCTGAATATGAAGCTCCTGAAGTTTAGTTAAGAGGCTATAAAAGACATATACTTTCATTTGAAGATCCTTAGAAAATAATGACAAAAATAAATGAAAAATAAGAAAAGAATGAAATAAATAAAATTGAGCCTTAAAAAAAAAATTCTAATAATATGCAGTTTCAATATAGGAAAATACAAATTAATAAGACATATGTGTATTTGATATAAGCTAAATAAGTTAAATACCAAAGAATATTAATGAAAATCAAATTAAAAACTAAAAGAATGCATACTTATAGCCTTAAATAAAGAAATTTGTCACAGATTATAGTGATTAATGTGATTTAAATGACAAAAAATATAACATTAAAAGTAATTATATATATTATGAATCTTCTGAAGATATAAGAGAGTTAAAGATGGAAAACTTGTTGAGAACTAATAGAGTGAAATAAATAGCCGAAAAACGAGAAGATGAGGAAAAATTAGAAATGATGAAATAATGGGCAGTTAATAAAAGTAGAATTGAAAAAGAAATAAATCGAAAAGTTGATTCTTCTACATTTGGAAATGATTTCAAATAATTAGAATATAAATATGATAAAACTAAAAGATCTATTTCTCTTCAAACTAATCCAAATTAGCAAAAAACTTTTAATTGTGTCGAATATTTAGCTAAAAGAGATTTAAATCACGAAAAATAAAATATTAATTTAGAAGATTAAATTACGTAATAAAGAATTAATTAAGTAAAGAATTAATATTATAATATTATTGGATTAAGATAAAATAAAAACGATTAAAAAATTAATAAAATATTACCTTCTTTATCTATATATGATAGTAGTAATTGCAAAAATAGATTTAAGCATTTCTCAACTATAGTTAATGTTAATGTAAAAAAACTTCAAAAAAAACAACTAGATTAAGCTTTAGAGATAAAAAACAGAATGGCTAAATATAAGATAAACATGCAAATGAAAGAATTAGCTAATGCTATACTTACACCTTCAGGCATATAAAATGCTTAAGAAATCAATTTATTACCAGAACCTGGATAAAGACTCATAAAAAATCCTTTTATAAATGAAAAAAAAAAAAAAAAAAAGAACAAAAGAAGGTGAAATTACAAATTTAATTTTTACTATTCGTACTTGTTTTAATATATATAATTCATCAATATAAATATATTTTATTTTTCAAGTTTTTATGTAAATAATTTAAAAAAAATACTGATTGAAAAGACTTCCTGATTTTTTCTCTTTTATATAAAAAATATTTTAAATAAAAATCATATATGATTAAATAAATCCAAAATTACTAAAATTTAGAATTACATTAAAATATCTTAATTTTTGTTAAAAAATAAATGCTTATATAATTTTTATTTTATCAATTTAAACTAAAATAATTTATTTATTAATTAAAACTTTTATGTATTTATATCTTAAATTATAATTTTAATTTAATTATTATTTACATAATTAATATGGAATTTATATAATATATCTTTTTTTAATAAATTTGAATTTATATATAAAATAATATATTTATCTTTCATTTTAAAGTTGTTCGATTTTTCATTTTTATTTATCTAAAATAATGTCATCATTATCATTAAGTTGTATATCAATAACTTTCTTTTTCTTTACAATACCAAAATCGTCTTCATTTTCTTCTTCATCTTCATCATCTTTTCTTTATTCGTCATTGATATCATTGACATTTAATTTATTAAACTAATTTATAAAAATAGTTGAATATTAATACAAAATATATATACTTAAAATGTTTCTTTTTCAATTTATTGTTCTATTTTTTTTCTTAAAAACTTTGAGCCACAGTTTATAAATCTTTTTCAGATTCAGCAATTTTTTATTTCTTATCTTATTCATTAAGTCTATTATCTGCAGCAAACAAATCAACTGCATTTGTATCTTCTTCTTCGCTACTACTGCTAGATTAAATAGAAATAACTTTAGGTACCTCACTGTCTTTAGACTTTAAATTTTCTTTAATTTTTTTAATTAATATAATTAGTTAAATCTTTGAAATTAATACCTAACTTTTCATTATCTAAATCATTGTCTTATTAACCTTTTTTAGCTATAGCTATTAAATCCTTTTTTTATGTTTCTTTTGTTACACTATTCATATAATCTAATACATAATCTTCACAAAACCTTTCTCTTCCAAGAAACATTTCTTCATCTGCAACTAAGCAAAATAACAACGACTCTATAACGACATCAATAGACATAGTAAAGTTCTATTGTATATTTGTAATTAAATCATATAAAAAAATTGATTAATAATAAAATAGTTTAGAAATAAATAAATATTTGTACAAATTAAAATTACTTATGATAAATATAAACTAAAGATTAATACTGAAATTGGAACAAACCAAGTATAGTTAATTTTTTTCTAATCGTATTATAAAATATCTATTTAGTAATTTACTAATAAAAACTAGCAATAAAAGTAACTGCAAGAAGCAGAAAAAACCTAAAAATATAAATTTAATAATCAATTAATATTAAATATATAAACCATTCCAATAATTCTATGGTAACCAAGACTGTTTTTAAATCTTTCAGTTCTTGATATATTTCTTAAAAACAAATAATGGCTTTTTTCTGAAGCATTATTCCAATCATGTCCAAACAAACTACTCTTTATAAAAAATAATTTTTAATTATAAATATGATTAAAAATACATTCATAATAGCCATAGAAGCTTAATATTTAGAAAAGTATTCAAAAATATAAAAATATACTGAACAACAACAAAGGCAAAATTATAGATACTTACTTTTTCTATTATTTTCTTTTATTGAAGCAAGATGATTTTTAAATCTTCTTAGTAAACATCTATAAATCCAATTAAGTGTAATTATAAAAGCACCTTTTATACAAGTACCTAAGTGTTTTAAAAATCCGTACAAAAATGCTCTAACAGATGGCCTCTTAAAAAATAAGATAAAAATATAAATTAAAGTAATTTTATTTTTTTAATAATATTATAAATTAAAAAAATAAAAAATAAAACATGTTTTCTCAAAATTATATTTATTTTTATAAATATTTTTTTTTAATTAGATAGATAATAAATAATATTTTTGATTTTTTTTTTATATTTACATCTAAAACAGTTTTCATTCTAGAAAAATACCATACTTATACAGCAAATGAATAAAAAAATTTTTAATACATATATATGGATTATAAATAGAAAATCATTAATACTAAAAGAGATATAAATATATAAATCTTATACTCATCTAATATTATATCTCTATATTAAGAATTCGGAAATTATTCAGGAGATTAAAGTGTTTATATTCTTCCAGAACCAATCAATATTATAACTGATAAATAAACAAATATAACTCCAGTCAATTAAAATAATGAAAAAATTATTGGAAAAAATTTCATACTATCTATTTTTCCTATTTTTTAATTTTTTTTAATATATAAATTATACTTCATACTAAAAGGAGCAGTTAATATTCTGGCATCATAGCATTAATTAAGTATGCTTTTGTAATTTATAAGCATTATTAAAACATAAATTCCTGAAAGAGCTATAAAAATATATTTTAATACCTATAATATTTTTTTAAAAAAATATAAATTATTATATGTATTTATATTAATAAAATTATGAATTAAATAATATAATAATATTAAAAATTTTTAAAATAATATAATAAAATGATTGAGTGTAAGTAATTTAAAACAAAATTTATTTTTATGAAAATATTAAATGTTTTAAAATTAATTTTATAAATCTAAATAATTATAAATATATATATATATATATACCTGCATTAATTTATAAGTTTATCCTAAGCATTATGTTTCTTCTTCATTTTAACTACATTCTTATTAAATTAACTATTTATTAAAAATATATTAATAATATTAATTTAATTACATTTTAATATTCAATATTAAAATTTAATAGAAAGGAAATTATAAATATAATAATTGGTATAAAAGCATAAATCCATATCAAAATTATATTTGTTCCTTTTTTTATTTATAAAAATATAAAAATAATAAATAGTATATTAATTCACTTTTGATAAGTATTGTAGTCATGAAAAAAAAGCCAACCAAAATTGCTATAATTAATGAAGAAGCAATTATTAAAATAGTTTCATAGATATCCTGTGCTATCCTTTTCCAAATATTTATAAAACTATTAATATGCTTTTCTATTTAATTTCTTTTTGTGCTAATAGTTAAGGGCATACAATATTTATTTTTATAAATTTATGTTTTGTAGGATTTAAAACAATAGTCTTCTAAAATAGTTTTTCCATCAACATCATATAAACAATAATCTAATTCCTAATTTATTATTATAAATTATTTATTAAATTTACAAATATACTATATATACATCTTCTTATGGACATTTTTCAACACAAAACCCTATATTCATGAATTCTGGATCAATCAAATATAAATATTTTTTCGATTAAAGCTAATATTAACCACAATAATCAGTTCTAAAATCATTTGTATAATATATATTATCCAATTAAAAATCTTTATAATCTTATAAAATAAAAAAGTATTTAAATTATGCAATTTAAAAAATATATTGAAAATTTATATTTTTAATATAAAAAAATATATCTATTTTTTTATATTTCTTTTATGTAAATTTATATATTTTTGATCTTAAAATAAAATTATAAATTTTAATTTTTTTACTTATTCCTACATAAGTACAACTTGCTGTAATTAATATAATTGCTATTATTAACCACAATAAATCTGTACACTTCCTTTCTTTTAGATCTTTTGGGCCTTTATTATTAAAATTAATTTGTTTATCATAATGTTATTTTAAAATTTAAAACCTAAAAATACTATTGATGGAGGCTCATAAAAATTATTATATGGATGAGAGTTATCTCTTGTAACATAACTATCTAATTTATCTGCTTTTATAATATTTATATTTTAATACATTTTGTTAATGAAAATATTATGTAAAATAAAATTTTGTGAAATATTAATAAAAAAAAATATTGAGATAAATATTTTAGTTAAAAATAATAAAAAATAATATATTTTATAAGTTATGAAATATTTAATAATTTTTATGATATTTCTATATATAACTTAAAAATATATTTTAATATATAATGCAGTTATAAAATTATAGAGAATATTATACAGAAATTTTAAATTAGAAACATAACTATTACATAAGATAAATATTTGTTTTAAAAATTCTAAGGTTTATCTATATTAAAGTTTCGTTTCTAAAACTATATAAAATTAACATTATTTGTTTTTTAAATATTTTATTTTAATTTTTTCTTAAATATTAATTATTATAAAAAATGTGTTTGTTTTTTTTTTTAATTTAATTTAAAGCATTTATACTTATATATAAATTAATTAAATTAAACAATATATTTATATTTTTTTTTTTATCAACTGTTTTTACATCAATTTAAAACACTAAATTAATGATCTCCATATTTTTCTTTATTTTCAATATATTTTTAATTAGGAAAATCAATAGCAATATCAATGTCTTGTTTTTGCTCAAACCAAGAACAAAATGCAAAAAATATTAAATCAAAAACAACAATTAATAATATTAAAATTCCTGCAAAAGGTCCAGAACTATAATATCTTTAGAATCTTTCTCTTAATGTTAATCTTGGTAATTTCATGATTTTTTAATAAACTTTTTCCTTATATAAATATATTTATTAGAAATTAAATTAAATATAAAAAATACATTTCTTTTTGCAACCATCATCCAATTATACATTTCAGAAACTTAATTATGAAATTATTATGCAGGCACATTTTTTGCATTCGGAATAGCTTCTAGTAATTTTAAAGTAAGTTCTTCGGGGTTAGGATTTGCTAAATGAACCATATGCTCAGGTAATACTTCAACTATTCCACCAACGTTCTTATTTTAAAAATTATATATCCATTTTTTTTTTTTACAATAATTATAATACTGTCGAAACTATTAATAATCCAGAGGAAGCAGCTTCTACTATTGCAATACAAAAAGCTTCTGTAAGAGAACAATTTAAGAAAATATCTATTTATTTAAATATATATTTATACTTTTTTTTTTTAATTTTTACGTCCTCTTACTAAAATATTTCTTACTTCTGTATGCTAAACTGAGCCTAATAACTCTACTCTATTTTAAAGATTTTCTCTTTTAATCATCTCTTCTAAAGGACCTCTTTTTGGACCATCACCTCCTATAATGAAATAAATTTCAGGAACTTTTTTACATATTTCTGGTATAATAGATATTAATAAATCGACTCCTTTTCTAAAAGTAAGTCTTTAAATACAAACAACATTAATAGTATTCAAAGGGTATCTTTTAGATGGATCTGGCTTAAATCTGGAACAATCAACTGAATTCGGTATTACTGATATCATACTCGGGTTAAAGCTTGCCCTTAAAGTTAGGTTTTCTTTAGATGTATGTGATACTGAAATAGCATGATCTTTTTTTAAAAAATAATGTTAATAAATTATTTTTTTAAATAAAAACCTATATCTGATAAAAATAATTTCATTAACTTATTTACATGGATGCATGCTGCATCTGAAAATCCAAATAATGAATGATCTGTAAAAACTGTTTTATATCCCATTGTCCGAGAATGTAAAATACATTCTTGACCTAAAATACTTGTTGTTTAATGAGCATGCACAATTTGTATTTTCTCACGTATTAGTATTTTACGAAACAAAGGTAAAAAGCTCCATATTGAAGGAAAAATAGCTTAGTCTGTAAATGGAGCCATTGGTGTATAATATACTTTTAAACCGTTTGTTATATAGCGTACTCCTTAACGATCTCCATATGTGTTTGTCACAATTATAACTTTGTGGCCTAAACGTATTAATTCTTTTTTATTATTTTTATTATTATATTAATTAATATTTTCTTAATAATATTATATTATTTGTTAATACTAAACCTAATGATAAAGAAAATATATGCATTTCTACTCCTCCTAAACGCGGATAAAAGAAATCGCAGCACATGCAAATGTTAAATTTTTCATTAGAACCCATTTTTTTGTTAATAAATTAAAATATTAATATAGTATTTATTAATTTTAAAAAATAATAATTATTAAATTAATTAAAAAAGATTTATACAATATATATTAAATTTATATTATTATTTAATTTATTATATATTAAAAAATTTATTAATATTATTTTGTTTAATTTATCAAATATTATAAAAAATAATAAAAATATTTTTTATGAGCATCTAATTTTTGAGAATTTTAAATAAAATGTATTTTTTTTCTTTTACTTTTTTACTTTTTTACTTTTAGAGTTTATAATTTATTTATTTTCTATGATTTTATTATTATCATTTTACTTTAGAAAAATATATGATTAGACAAAATATTAATATATTAATATTTTTATATTAAATATTAATTAATTAGAATATAACAATAAATTACTTTTGCTTGATAAAGCAGATATATAGAATAATTAAAATTATTTTAGTATATTAAAATTTATAAAAAAAATGTTCGAGAGGTGTTTAAAAGTAAAATTTATTTATAGAGCTTTTATAATAATAATTTTTAAATATTTATTTTATAAATATAGGATTTTTAAAATAGTTAATAAATGTGTTTTTTTCATTTCGTTTTTAAAAGCTTAATAAAAAGCTATTTTATAAATATATATTTAATATTATTAAAGTAAAATATTTATCCATTAAAATTACATTAGTTTAAAATAAATTTATTTATATATTAATTTAAATTTAATCTGAGTGAAACAAATATTATCAAATATTGAAACAATTTTTAATAAAAAATATTTAAATAAATAAATTCTATAAAATAAAAATTAAAGAGATTCCTTTATTTAAATATTTAAATGAAATCTAGATTAATTATTTATTTTAATAAAAAATTTTTAGTATTGATTTTTTAAAACATTAAAAATGAAATAAATATTTTATACATTTACAATAAATGAAATACTATAATACTGATATAGAAAAAAATAAATTAAAAACTGATGCAATAGTGTTTTTTAAAAAATCTTTTAAATTTGTTCTATTCTAATTTTGAAAAAACTTAAAATTTAAAGAAAAAAAATATATCTTACTAAAATACAATAAAATTATAAATTATTTTAATAATTTTTGACTTAGTAAAAGCATTATTTAGAAAAAATATACACATAACAATAATATTATAATTAATTAACAAAAATCAAACTAATGCTTTTTAATAATTTTTTACCATAATAATAAACAAACTAAGTTTTTAATATTAATAAAGGAATTAGTAATTATTATGAATATTTATAAATAGCAAACTATGAAGAAAATATAGAATAAAATATAAAATAAATAAATAATTAAAAAGCAAATAGGTTTCGTCAAAAACTTCTTTTAAATAATTTTTAAATATAAACAAAATTAATTCCTGAAGAAACAGTTTATTCTTAATAATGTAAGTTTTCTAAAGATAAATTTTAAAAAATAAAAAATTCTTCTATACAAAGAAGACTATTATATTTATAAGCTTAAAAATTCTAAGAAAAATATGAAATTTTAAATGAAAAAATTATTGGAGATGGTTCAAGCGGTTGTGTATATAAGTGTGTAAAAAAATAAAATAATAAATTATTTGCTGTAAAAGTAATTAGAAATGCTGATGAAGAAAAAATTAGAGATATAAAAAAATCATTTATACTTTAATACAGGCTTAATCATAAATATATTTCAAGAGTTTATGAGTTTTTTAGTTATGAAGAAACATAATTAATTCATATTGTAATGGAATATTATGACTTTCATACTTTACAATATTATCTGGACACATATGGAAAGTTTAATGAAAATGAAGCTCGAATTATAATGAAATATTTACTAGAGTCAGTTTTTTATTTAGAAAGATAAGGAATATGTCATCGAGATTTAAAACCAGAAAACATATTGATTTCTAAAGATTTAAAATAATTCAAAATTATAGATTTCGGCATAAGTAGAAGTTTTATTTCTGTTGCAAGAGTGTAACATTAGAATTCTTATATTTATAATAAAATGTATTCTCCTACCGGAACTCCTAGTTATAAAGCTCCTGAAATACTATTGGAAATCGGATATACACACGAAGTTGACATGTGGGCAGTTGGAATAATATGTTATTAAATATTAAGTGGAAACCATCCTTTTAAGAAAAAATAAGAATTTTCATTAGAAGAAATTAACTTTAATATTAAAAATACAAAGTATGATTTTAAAGATTATGTTTGGAATGATGTATCTTAAAATGCAAAAAAATTTATTAAAAGTTTACTAAAAAAAAAGAATAGACTTTCAGCTTTTGAAGCACTTTCTAATATTTGGATATAATAATAAAATAATATAAATATTTTAGAAAAAAAAGAGAAGTATTCTTTTAAAAGAAATAACTATTTTTCCATAAATAATTTAAGCACTTTAATTAGTTTAAAAGATGTTTCTTATTTTTAAAAATAGAATTTAAAAGAAAATATTAATTATAAAAGTTATATTATCGAAGATTAGTAAGAAAAATTAAAATTTTCTACAAGTTTGGATAAAAAAATAAATTAAGATAATTTAAATAAGTTTGAAAATGAATTTTATTTTTTTGACTAAATTGTAAGAAAATAGTCACTAAATAATATAGAAAATAATAATTTTATTATTTAAAATTTATAAGAAATTAATATTCAAAAATTTTAATCAGTTTAGGAATTTTTACATGTAAAAAAAAGAGAAAATAAATTATAGGTTAACTCATTTAATAATAGTTAAAATAAATAAAATTTTAATATTAAGAAATAAAATGCTTTCTTAAATAATACTATTATTTTAAAAAAATAAAGAAAAAGCAAAAGCTATGATTTTAAAATTACTAATGAAAAAAATAATAGAAAATAGTATAATAAAAAATATTTTAAAAAAAGAAGCTAAAAAAATTTTTTAAACCAAGATAATTTTAATTATAGTTAATTCATTAAAAAATAAAAAAAATCAGATTTGACAAACGATTTTTTTTCGCATAAATCTTAATCAAGTAATATAATAAGTATTAAAATACATAATACTTAACTATCAGAATCTTTATCTAGTGAAGAAATGCAAATCTAAAAAAATATATAAAAGAAAATTATCAACAATTATAGATATTAAAAATCTAATAATTTTGCTTCAATATCTATATAATAATTTTAAGATAGCAATTTCTTTAAACAAAATGAAAAATTAGAAAATACTTTAAAAACAAAAGTTAAAGACTCATTAGAATTTAAGCTGGATGATTAAAAAGAATAAATTGATAAAGTAAATAATTTCTTAATAAATTCCGAAGGAAGTTCTTGTAAGTGGAATTAATTTGAATTTCAATTTTTAAAAAAGTTTAAATGAGTTTGATAATATTTTGAATTTTTTTAGTACTACTAATTATTCTTGCTGATTTTATTTAAATTATTTTTAAAAAAATCTAAATTCTAATACATTAAAAATAATATAAATAGAAAAAATGTAATTATAATTTATAAAAAACAAATAAAAATAATTAATTTAAAAAAAAATATTTTTAATTCTTAATAAAATAAAATTCATAATTTTTATATTAATTTTTAAAAGCTTTAATAAAATAATAATATATAATAATTTCAAAATCATCATACTGAATTTTAATTTTATAATTAAATAGATTATTAAACTTCTATAATTATTCATAATACTAAATAAATATTAAAAATGTATTGAATATAAAAGTAAAAATATTTTAAATAATTTAAATAAAAAGCATATACATATATATAATATTAATTATCTAACAGTTATAAGTTATTTTTTATATTTTTAATACTAATTAGAATTCGATGTTACTTACTCAAGTTTTTTCGTTTAATCATATTATTTTTTAAAAAAATTCAAAAATAAATATTGTTTGCAATCATTTTTTTCAAAAAGCAATTTTTCTTTGTTGTTATTAAAAAATATTTTTTATTATATTCTAATTATTAATAATATAATTTTTTTAAGTATCAAATACTGTGTTGATCATCAAATTTTTTTGAATATTATTTTTTTAATCTTTAACATTATCATTCGAAAAAATTTAATTAGACTCTTCATCTATTTCTTCTTCTTAAATATCTTCTTCTATATCTTCAAATTCATCAAAATTAAGATTATTCGTTTCTCCACTTACATTAACACTTTTATATAATTGCTTCAGGCCAGATCTTGTTACTAATTCATCTAAAGTAGATGGTTTTTTATTAGTATGAATATAGAATATAATAAGGAAAGCTATAATAGGCGATACATAATGAAATAGGTTTTATTTACGTTCGTTTAATTCTGCAGGAATTTAGTAAGGTGTTTCCTTAAACAAAATGTAAACTAAAACTTCTAAGAATTCACTAAGTAAATTATTTTATTCTAGTTCTTTTAGATAAGATTCTAAAACATCTATACTTTTAGTTTTTTTATTACTCTTTAAAATGCTTGTATTAATTGCTTTTAAAGTTTATAATAAGCTTTGTTCCTTACTTTAGTTCGATTATTATAAGTTTAGTTAGAGAACTTAACTATACTAAGACAAAAATAATGGAGAAGCATAACGTAGAAAAAATGTGTGTTAAACATGATAATGTATTATTTTATTTACATGTTATTTCGCTTTATTATTTTTCCATTTTTCTTATAGATGTTTTTTAAAATTTATTATTATTTCTTGAGCATCTATTCTACTTATTGCACTTGCTTTTTTTTCAATTTAACTTTACTCTTCCTGTATATTTGTATTACTATTTTTTTTTTAAGTTTAAATGTGGGACTATATTAAGTAATAATAATTTTTATATAATATTCTTTTATATAGAGATCTTTTTTGGTAATATAATTTTTAAAAACTTTTTTTTACGTTTTATTTACCTAATTAAGGAGTTAATTATTATTTTTTTATTTTTATTTTTTAATTTTTTTTTTTTATAGTAGTTATTAATCCATATTTTATGACTATAATTATTACAATGAATATCTTTTTATTTATTTATTTATTTATTTATTTATATATAATATAATGCTAAAATATAATTTCTATTATAATAATAAATAATTTTTATATATCCTTTTTTTTTAATTTATTTAATTTAATATTTTTAGTATATTTAAGTAAAAATGTATTTAATTTAATATATATATATATATATATATATATATATATATATATATATATATATATATATATATAATAGATTTTAAAATTAGCTAATCTTTTTATTTATTCTAAAAGTAATTCTATATTACTTTATCAAAATATTATACAAGCTAAAATTTATTATTGTTTTAAATTTAATAAAGTATTTCTTTTTTACTATATTAACTATAAATGTCTTAAAAATTATTATTCTATTTATACATAATAAAAAAATTATAATCAAAATATGTTTTCAATTCTTCTTTTGTTTCAAAAGACTTCGTCTTTATTTCAAAAAAGAATTATATTATTTAACTTTTTTATTTTAATAAAAATATTTATAATAAACGAACATTATTTTTTGATTTAAATAACATTATTCTGTGATTTGATTTGTTATTTATTTAAATTATGATTTTATTGCTAATTAATGATTTATTAAGTTTTATCATTATCTTTTTTACTATTTTAATTAATTAATTCTTGCTAGATATTGTATTTATAAATAACTATTATAAATTTATATTTCTTAGATTATTTTTTATTGTTTTATATTTAAATGCACTAAATTTCAACGATTAGATAATTAAATTTTAAAAATATATATTGAAGTATTTTATTTTTATTTAATGACAAAATCTTATATATTCTTGCTAGATAAGAAATTATTGGGAATTTGAAAAAACATATCACTTTTATATATATTTATAATCATTTTTTAAATAATTTATTAAGTCATTTTTTTTATATTTAAATTTATTTAATAATAATTATAAACTATTAATTATTATTATTTAATTAAAATACTTAAAAATAATATTTTTTTATTAACTAATGAAATTATTTTAATATATATCATATAAATTAATTATATATATATATATAGATTATTTATTAAGTTTATAGTTTTTTATTTAATTAAATTATTTATCATCTTATTTAGTTTTTAGAAATAATCAAACATTTCTATAAATAATTTATATATTTAATTTTTTCTTAATCGTTTATATAATTCTAATCTGAATATGGTATATTCATTTTGTTTTAATTTTATATTATCTAAGGTTTTGTATAATAAAAACATTCTTCGCTTTAAATACTTTAGTTTTATTAAAATTGTTTTTAATATTATTAAGGAAACATTAAATTTTATTAGAAATTAATTGGGTTTAATTCAAATTCATTCTATTTTTACAAGATATTATTTTATTATTTAATTTTTTTTTGATTTTAATAACAATTTAATTAATCAATTTTACTTTTTTAATCTTACATATAAAAGTCATGGTATGGATTTAAATTACAATTATTATTTTAGTTTTAATGATAGGTTGGATAATAATATTATTTTGAATTTTATTATTATTTTTAATGAAATTAATTTTTTTAAAAAACTAAATCATTTATGTTTTCTTAAATAGTATTTTAAAAATCAATGTATTTGCTATTTCTTTAGTCAAATAAATTTTAATTTTTAGAATAATTATTTTATTATTGTAATTGGCAATTTATAATTTAATTTTAATTCGTTAAATTTTCAAATGTGCTCTCACTGTTTGTATCATATCGAATTATTTTATTATTATTTTAGTAATTTTATATTTACTAAGAATTTATAAGGGTTTATTAATTTTCAAAATAACTTTAATTATTTTAAATATTTTATTCATTTGAATTGTAATTATTACTATACCTACTTTAATTTACACATAAATCTCCAAAAACATTCTAAACTTCTTAATTATTGAGCATCTCTTGAATTTTAATAACAGGTTCTTTTTAAAAAAACTTTATAATTCTTTTCTTTTATTTGATACAAAGTCTTTTATTTTTAATTATATTATTGTATTTAAAACTATATACTTTTATACAAAGATTCCACTTAATTAGTAGTTTATATTGATATATATTCCTTACTATTTAGTAGCATAGACTTCTAATATTTATCAACTTTTTCATTTATTTCATTTTTCTAATAGTTTTAAGTAACATTTTTATCCTTTTCTTTCAATAGTACTTATATTTTATATATCATAAATATTTAATATGTATGAAATTATACTTTATTATTCTTCTGGCT